CTTACTGTATTTAAAAAATAACTCAATTAAGATGAATTAACTTATGATATGCTTTGTCAACTATTGTTACACTGATAACCTTCTTAAAGCTTTGAAAGGATTTATTACCTGTCTTCCTCAAAGGGAAAATTACGTTATTTTTTGTACTTCGTGGTATATTAATCTGTTTTTTTAATTTTAAATTTATTTGTTTTGTTTTTCAACTTAGCTCAATCACTTTGTGAGAAGAATCTCCTTTAACAATGATGCAGGAGATATGATTTCCTTCAATCAGAATGGTGAGTTAGAGATTGGATTTGACCTTGTAAATTGGATTACTTTCCCAAATCGGTCTTTCCAGCGAGTCAGAGTTGGAGGGATAGATCCCATGATATCCAAAAGAGAAATATTTATCTTCTGAGAAATCGATTGTGTGGCCAAGGAGGTTTAACCAGGTATGCCACGGAAGTTAAATTCAACTATGTCTGATAATTATTCCATTAATACAGTAAAACCACACAGGAAGTACTGATTTTACCAATATTTACATTGAGAAACAAAATGGTTTCTGATTTTCTATCTAGGCCATATGGTTATCTTTAGAAAATTTTCCCAACTATCTAATGATTATCAGCGAGTGTGATATTGTGTTAATGACAGATTGAGTTATAGGAAAACGTCAGGGTATGGTTTTTCTTACTTGAATTTGCAATACAATATCTCATTCTGATTATTTAAGAATAAGTTTAGGATGTGAGTAGAAATAGTTAATGCAACATCATTAACCACTTTTCTTATTCCCATTTGGATAACCCTACATAATTTGTCATTTAGTTGTAATAACTAGACATGTTTTCTTATAGTGTGGACAGATGTCAAACGGAACAAGGGGTTAAAGAATATGTGGTTGAATGCAGTCTAATGCTAAATGATTTTTTCATAAATTGGTCAGTGAGAAATTCTAGTGCATTCTTCTTTTAATCCAAAAAGCTTCTATAGAATGCTTGTCAACATTGTTTTGTGTCTTTTTTCCTCATCTTATAGCACATGTATTCATCTTTTCCTTTTAAAATCACAGTTAAAACAATAAAAACTAAAAGTAGACTAAAAAGTAGAAGATGAAAAAAGTAGAAGGTATGGGAAACAATAGAAGTAGAAATGAAAAGATATATATGGTAAAGAAAAAATAAGAAATATATAAAGAGACTTTCCTCTTCATCACAAGTATAATAAATCTATAAAGGTGCATCATTTCACATTTTAATTAAACTTAATTAAATTTCAAAAACAAGATAAAATACAAGGAAACAGGGAAAAAGTATCCAAGTCAGTCTCTGATGAGTACAATATGGGTGATCTCAAGTCCTCTCCTTGTCCAGAGAGGAATCATCAAAGATCCTGTCTACTCACTGATTCTTCATTCCACCATAATCAGTGGTGGGTTGCCCCCGTTCGGACCGGTTCATAAGAACCGGTAGTAAAACCGGCTGGAGGCTCTGCCCACCCCCCTCCAGATGTCATCATAGGTGATGAAGTTCGGCTCATGTGTGCGATTCCGTTGCGAACCGGTAGTAAAGGTAAGTAGAACCCACCGCTGATCATAATCCTCAGCTCCACTTTTTGTGGAGTTGTTTTCAGTCCACCTTCCTCACACCACACCAGCTTTGACTTAATAAAGTAAATTATTCAACTGAAATAACAATATCAGAGGACATTTGTAATGCAGAAGAAGGAAACATAACATTGTAGCTTTAACAGACATATTATACCTTTGGGAGAATAAAAAGTTAACACAAAAACAGAGTAGTTCATACCATTGTCTAACCTTGCAAACTACTAAATCACTGCATTATTTCTTAGTTTTTATTAAGTTTTCATTCCTTAAGGTATTCATTAACATCCTACCACCATGCTTCCTCTGCACTCTTTCTCTTTGTCTCTGTCTTGCTATCTATCTCTCTCACACACACACCATTCTGTTTCTCTAATTAACACCAAATATTCTCTAATTAACACTAAATATTAGACCATGCCATGACCAATAGGAAAGCAATATGAGGTAATTTTATAAATATTAGTCTATCTAGTCTGGTCCATTCAGAAGCATTTTCTGACAATCATAAATGTTCTTTTCTTCATTATGGACAGTCCCGTCCACTTTCTCTCTGTAATAGCAAATGTCATTCAGGATATAGTAAAAGCAAATTAGAAGGGAAGCCATTTTGCTGCTATGATTGTCTTCAGTGTCCAGAAGGAAGATTGCCAACCAGGAAGGTAAGAGTTGTCTTATAGAAAGCTAATATATTGCTTGAAGGAGGTAGAAAACAAATTATTACTTTTGCTTATGAACTATATAGCACATAGCACTACTGTTAATGATTAGTTTTAGAAAAAGTGTTTTCCAGATGAATTTTGATTTTTGCCTCTCTGCCTTCTGCAGTTTCTTGAACTACATATACTAGCTTATGATGCTAATATAGCAACATAAGCATACAGCAACATGCAGATGTTGTCCTCTCAACTGTTTTAAATAAATAAATACAGAATTATTGGGCGTAATTTCAGCTTTTTGAACATATAAATGGAATAAATAGTCTAACAATATCATTCTTTAAAGTTGGAGGTAAGACCTGCCACTCAGTTCCAAACTGACTCAAGAATTTTCCTATTCTCTAGCTAAGTTCTATGTGATAGCAATATAAGTTGAATGCAAATGGCCTAAAGGTGCAATGGAAAAAGTTAAAATTTATAATAAAAATGGAATACAGTTTAGAAATGAAAATGTATAATCCTGTTAAATATTTCATTTGCGTTTTAAAAATTGTGCACTTTCTCTAGCAGCACCAGCTGCCATGAAATAGAATTAGGAATATTGATGACTAATAAAGCACAAATTCTCATAAACATACTTAAATGTACAGTCTCTTATCCATCATTAATCATACATCCTTTAACTTTCATATTAGTTAATTCTTCATCCTAAAAAAATTGCATATATTAAGGTATATTCAGGGTTGCTCTTCTACCCCCTCTCTCCTTTCCTTTCCTCTCTCCTTCTCTCCATCCCTCTCCTCCTCTCTCCACTCCCACTCCATTATTGTTTTCATTTTCAATTCAATATATTTTCAAAATGGTATTCGAGCAGCCCCGATTTTCTATTTACAGTACATACATCTTCATTTCAATTTCTTTTTTATTTAATAGTTACACCTTTATCATCATTCATGTACATTTATATAATAACACTTTTTCTGTTTTCCCCCTTTTCCATTTACCCAGGTGTCATCTGGATTTCTATTCCTTTTTTGTCTTTTCTCTCATTTGCCTTCTCCCTATCCAATTTATCTCTGATCTTTTATTCATTTTCCTTTTCTAACAAATCATAAAAGCATCCCCATGTCTTGAAATACACTGACTCCTCTTTATCTTTTATTCTTAATGTTCATTTCTGCACATTCTAAACTTTCCTTTATTATCTCTCCTTCTGACGGGATTTTTTCTGCTTTCCAGTTTTGTGCAAATACTATTCTAGCCGCTGTTATTATATGAATAATCAAATATGTACCTTCTTTACTATATTTTCTTCAGTAAAATTGCCAATAAAAATATCTCTGGTCTTAACTCTATACGTTGTTGTAAAATTCCCCTCTAACCATGTTCATATTTTAACCCAATAATTCTTTGCTTCCTTACATGACCACCACATATGATAGTATGATCCTGGCAATTAATTATGGATAAGAGACTGTACATTTAAGTATGTTTATGAGAAATATATATATATATATACCAAATATATTTTTCTGATAAAGAAATAAAGGGAGACTAGTATAGATCTATTTCAAGCTTTTTAGCTTTCATCAGCCAGCCATACAATTACTTGGATTCGAACTTGGGCTGCTTGCATCTTAGGCAGTTGTATTAACCACTGAGCTACAAGTTCTCCTCCCTTCATCAGCTTGAGCCAGGGGAAAGATTAAGTGTTTACCGAGACACATGCTCTACCCCAACATGTGGGAGGGGGCATTCTGCTCCCATTCTGGCTGGCTGATGAAAGCTAAAAAGCTTGAAATAGATCTATACTAGTCTCCCTTTATTTCTTTATCAGCAAAATATATTTGGTATAAAAATGGTTTCTCGTGAATGCGACTGCTTGAGGGCTCCTGGATTGGAGCTGAAAGGCAAAAGGGAGCAGAATGCCGCCTCCCACATTTTGGGGTAGACCAGGTGTCTCTGTAAACACTATATGTATGTATATAGTGTTTACCGAGACACCTGGTTTTCTCCCGCGTAAAATTGGAAGTATCTTGGTGACGTTTTGATGAAGTCTCATTCTCATCTTCAGGCTGGTGTTTTCGGCTTCATGCTTCTAGGAGCAATGTGTGATCGCAGCTGTTTCTTCCTTTTAACTGCCAGTGGGGGTGTGAACTGATTGGGTGGAGGTGTGTTCTGATTGGTTGGGGTTTGGCTGTGCCCATCCAATCAGAGCACAGCCAAGCCCCCACCCAATCAGAACACACCTCCACCCAATCAGAACACAGCCAAGCTCCCACCCAATCAGTTCACACCCTCACTGCCAGTTAAAAGGAAGAAACAGCTGTGATCACACATTACTCCTAGAAGCACGAAGCTGAAAACACCAGCCTGAAGATGACGAATGAGACTTCGTCAAAACGTTGCCAAGACACTTCCAATTTTACGCGGGAGAAAACTCGAATAACCAAAGACCTACCTACAAACACCCGTGAAAACCTCAGAAAACAAATATATATATATGCACAAATTCATAAATAGACAGAACATATCCATGTCCATGTCAACCAGAATGATTAAAATAAATGTTTATCTACAATATATTCTAAATTCATATCTTAAATGACAAGTTATTATTTTTTCTTTTTGTTTTCATGAATAAACTTAACCTGCCCCCATTGGCCTCCTAAAATACTTGAATGGCAAGTCCCCTCTTAGTCATTTCTGAGTGCAGAAACTGCAGAATAGAAGTTTAGGAAAATTGTAGAACTTTGTCTTTCAGATTTTAAATTAGCTGCCCTAATCACAGGTCTTTCATTTGCTTGTTTTAATGCAACTCCAAGACTATCATATTTCTAATCTGATTTTGTTTGCAGACATGAATGATTGTTTGGAATGTCAACAAAATCAGTATCCAAATCAGAACCAGGACTTATGTCTCTTCAAATCTGTAACATTCTTGATGTATGAAGAAATTTTGGGAATTGTTTTGACCACTTTCGTTCTCTTCTTTTCTTCAATCACAGCTGTAGTACTTTGGATATTTATTAAGCATCAAGACACTCCCATAGTCAAAGCCAACAACCAAACCCTCACCTATATTCTCCTTGTTGCTCTCATGTTGTCTTTCCTTTGTTCTTTACTATTCATTGGCCAACCTTCCAAAGTAATGTGTGTCCTTCGTCAAACTGCTTTTGCCATTATATTCTCAGTGGCCATTTCTTCTGTTTTGGCCAAAACCATCATTGTGGTTATAGCTTTCATATCTACCAAGCCAGGTTCCAAGATGACCAAATGGGTGGGGAAAAGGCTAGGCTTCTTCATAGTATCTTGCTGCTCCTTTATTCAGGGTATTATATGTGGTACATGGCTTTCAATCTCTCCCCCATTCCCAGATGTTGACACGAGTTCCATGGCAGAAGAAATAGTTCTGGAATGTAATGAAGGATCCACCTACATGTTCTATTGTGTCTTGGGATATATGGGCTTCCTTGCCTTTGTTAGCTTTACAGTGGCTTTCCTAGCAAGGAAATTGCCTGATGCTTTCAATGAAGCCAAGTTTATCACCCTCAGTATGCTGGCCTTCTGTAGTGTCTGGTTGTCCTTTATTCCAACATACTTGAGCACCAAGGGAAAATATATGGTTGCTGTGGAGATCTTCTCAATTATAACTTCCAGTGCTGGTTTATTGATTTGCATCTTTTCCCCTAAATGCTACATTCTTATCTTAAGGCCTGATCTCAACAAGAAAGAGCAGCTAAGAGTAAAAAAATAATGCAATAATATCATACTGGATGGCCTTTCATTTAAAAAAAAAGAAAAAAGAATCTACAATCCTATATACTCGTGTATTGCGGTAAGCATTGTTGAGCTTTTTGGAATATATTCCTCAGTATTTGTGAATAAGAATGTTAGAAGTATTTATTGCCTAGCTTGTAAACAAAATGTCAGAAATGGAATTAAATAGACTGCCTTGAAGATTTGAACAGCAACACATTTTCAAACATTCCTTGTAACATGCAATTCTGGAAAGGACCCTGCTGGAGTGTGGAATTCCCATGGTTTTCATACAAGCTTCCAAGTTCTGTATAAATTATTTTCCATTTCCATACCTGCTTTAAAAACCCCAGCACATCAGAATCTAGGATACATATTGAATATTGAATACTATCAAGAGCCTTGATAGTACAGTGGTTTAGTGCACCCTGTCATTAACACAGCTGCCTGCAATTTCTACTGGTTCGAATCTCTCCAAGGCTCAAGGTTGACTCAGCCTTCCATCCTTTCTAAGGTAGGTGAAATGAGGACCCAGTTTGTGGGGGCAATAAGCTGACTTTGTATAAAATATACAAAAGAATAAAGGCTATTGCTTAACGCATTGTAAGCCGCCCTGAGTCTCCGGAGAAGGGCGGCATATAAATCAAATTAAAAAAAAAGAAGAAGAATATAGCTGGTTGATAATATTTTATCCAGTGGTGGGATTCAAATAATTTAACAACCAGTTCTCTGCCCTAATGACCAGCTGGGTAGGCATGGCTGGGTGGGCATTGACTGGATGGGCATGGCCAACTCAACGTCACTCACCCTGCCTGGTCCCATCTCCCAACCACTCGCCTCAAAGTCCTCAACAAGATACAATCTCTATTTATTTACTACTACTGAACATCACTTAATGATGGCAAGGAAAATCACAAAATGGAGCAAAACTCACTTAAATCTTGCTTAGCAATGAAAGCTTTGGCTCAGTTGTGGCCATAAGTTGAGGACTACTCCAGTGAGAGTAGGATAAGGAGCCTACTTTGCTCACCCCAAGAAACATTTCAAGATTAAAGATTTTGGGTGCAGGTGGTGGTAGTGTCACCGAAGCGGGTCTGCTTCTCTCCTCGGTTGGTGGGGCAGCTGTGCTCAGCAGAGGTCTGCCAGAGGGCAGTGGGGAATCTGAATGAGGGTGGCCCTCCCAGTGAGAAGGCCCTTTGGTTGCTTCTCATGTGAGGAAATGGGTGCTACCAGGCTGCCTTGGGAGCAGAGGGGGAGTAAAAAGGCCACTTGGCAGGCCGAAGTTTCACTCACTTGCTTGCTTTGTTCTCCCACCTCCACTCTTGAACGTTTCACTGCCTTTTCTCTTCCTGCCTCCCCTTGTCTCAGAAGCACTCCCCTCTCTGCTAGTGGCTGCCCCCTTCTCCCTCTCCCTTCTCGCTGCCAGGCAATCCCATGTGAAGAAAGGGGCAGCCACACTTTTTAAAAAGGATTTTTAATGAAACCTTCAATACAGCGACCAAGATCCAAAGCCCCCATCTCTCTCCTCCCCACCTGGCGCATCTGCTTTGCCTTGCTAAATCAGATCTAGAGCCTGAGGGAGAATGAGAAATTTAACAGGGGGGAGTGGGGAAGGACAGAAAGGCAGCAGAGTGAGGTTAATGAAGTAAACTCAAGTTTCTTAGCTTGGACCAGCAAAAGATGTTGCGCCGACCCAGCGAAGGGTGAGACCACAGTGGAAACATGCAGGAGCAAGTGGGGTGGTGGTGGGGAGGTGTCCCTTTAGAAAGGCATGAGGTTGGTGCACAGATTGAACACCACAGCTTGTTTTGTAGGATCTGGAGCTTAGCAGGATCTTCTGTTTTAGAACGCGACATCGGTTGCCGCCCCTTGCCCTGAAGTGAACTTTTCTTTGAAGCCTGGATGGCTGAGCACTACTCCATCTCTCCAGTTGTCCTTTGTATTCTCTGATGCCACCATCGCCCACCGCCTTTTGCTGATCCAAGCTAAGAAACCTGAGTTTACTTTATAAAACTTGCTCTGCTGCCTTTCTGTCCTTACCTCCCTCCCTCCTGTTAAATTTCTCATCCTCCCCCAGGCTCTAGACCAGTGATGGCTAACCTTTTTGCCATCATGTGCCAGGCCTCTCTAGAAGTCTCTGGAGGCTGGGAACAGCAAAAAAAGTCACTTCCTGTCCCACCGGGAGTTGGGAAATGGGCCCTTTCAGGCCTCCGGAGGGCCTCCGAGGGAGTGGAAAAGGCTGTTTTTGCCCTTCCCAGATGCATAGAGAGGATCTGGAGCCAGATGAGAAAGAAAAACAGCCCTTCCCCACCCACCCCCGACCCTCTGGAGGCAGGAAACAGGCTGTTTCCCTACTTCTGGTGGGCCCAGAAGGCCAGAAAATCAGCTGGCCGGTGTGCACATGCATGCCAGAGCTGAGCTGGCATGCCCACCAATATGGTATGCATGCCACCTGTGGCACGCGTGCCATAGGTTCGTCATCATGGCTCTAGACCCAATTTAGTAAGGCGAAGCAGACATGCAGGGTGGGGAGGGGAGAGCTGTTGTTTTTGACTCAGGATTGGATCTTAGCTGCTGCATTGGAGGTTTCATTAAAAGTCCTTTTTAAAAAATGTGGCCACCCCTTCTTCACATGGGATCACCTGGCAGCAAGGAGGGGGAGGGAGAAGGGGTGGCCACTAGCAGAGAGGGGAGTGCTTCTGGGATGAGGGGAGCCAGGAAATATCTGGGTCCAGCTCACCCAGCCTCTCTTCCTCTCGCAGCCATGTGTGTAGCTGCCAGGCGATCCTGTGTTCCCTCCACTCCTAGCAGAGGTTGAAAGAGGGAGTTGGGGAGGGTCAGAGACCTACCAGGTGTGCAAGCTCTGCCCAACATCCTGGGGTGGCTCCAGTACAGCTGCTGGTGGCCCATGGCAGCAGTCACGTGGCTTGGACACTGAAAAGAAAAATGAAAGGCTGAATTGTGCAGGCGTAGAAAAAAGGAAGCAAGCAAGCCTCTTTGCTCCTGCTCCCTTCCCTTTTCACCACACAAAGTGGTAAGTAAGCTTGGGTGAGTGGCCAGGTTGCAAGACAAACCACCCGGTGAAGAGAGACTGGGAAGGAGGGGTGAAGCTGCAGCCGGTTCGCTGAACTGAGCAATTAACAACCGGTTCTACCGAACCAGTATGAACTAGCTGAATTCCACCACTGATTTTATCCCAATTTGAAATAACGAACCATTAAACTTTGATTACTGAATAATGTAACTCTACCTTTCTGTTACTTCATGAACAACCAGTTCATAAATAGAAAGCAAATACATATAGTCAAAGATTGTTAATTTGAAGTTTAGGTCTTTCTAGTGTCTGTCTATCTGTCTGTATCCACCATTTTCAGTAAATTGAATATTTGATAAAATAGTAAGTTGTATACTTTTCGTTATATAAATCAAGGTCACATTGTTATCTTCAGGCCATTGAAAAAACTGACAAGATAATTGATATTAATTCAAGTGGGTTGAGAAAGGGATGTAATACCTACATCATATGAGTAGGTATTACTTCAGCCATGATACTCTTCCAAACTAGTGAGGTTTCTAGCTAACCCATTAAAATATTGCTTAAATTGTCTAGGAAATATAAAATAAACACTTGTATTGAATTAATGCTAAGAAAAGAGGAAGAAACTGGAAGTAGAAGAAAGCAAATAGGATGAACAGCAGGAAGGTGAGAATTACAGAATAACAGATAATTGGAAGGGGCCTTAGAGATCTTCTAGTCCAATCCCCTGCTCAAGAAGGAGACACTATACAATTTCAGACAAGTGGCTGTCCAGTCTCTTCTTAAAAAACCCAGTGTTGAAGCACCCACAATTTCTGAAGACAAGCCACTAGTTAATTGATCTAACTGTTAGGAAGGTTCTCATTAATTCCAGAAGCATGGAGAAATATTATACAGAGAACTCTTCTCTGTAACTTAGAGAAACTGATACTAAATAAATGTCAGTGTTTTATATTTCTTTCAGTTCTGTTTTCTTTCTTATTTTCTAGAAATTGTGATTACAAATTTATAAAATCCTCAATGTAATTACTAATTTAATTATACTTCAATGTCCTCTTTCAATTCCAGGAATATAATTGAACCCATTCAAACAGGAACAATTATCGCCTAATCCCTTGGAAAACAAAACAAAAAAAAAAGGATTTTTGAGGGGAAATGTCCAATGAGCTTTCTTATTTATGATTCATTTATAATTTTCTGTTGGTAATTCTTCCTCTATAATTATCCATTTAATGATGATAACTTCTGCGTTCCTCATGGATCTCAAACAGGTTGAACAGAAATGAAATACAACAAAATAAAATGGAATGAGAAAACACAACACAATATTCCAAACTGGGCTTAAAGATAGATAGAATTCTGAACTCTGATAATTGTTACTTAGGCTGGGACTTGGACAATCTGAATTAATGAAAGACAGATCTGGGAGAGATGAATTGGATTAAAGAAAAACTGCTTCATTCAGCATGGCGGTATTTGAAGCATTAATTATAGTGCTTTTACCCCGAGTGGTGTGCATGATTCCCAGTGCTAAATGCAGCATAAGTGAACCTCTGCCTTTTCTTCACCAGCAATATGAACCTGGAGACTCCGTTATTATAGGCATTTTGTCTAAGATCTACATATTCTATACAGTGATGGACTTCAATGAAGCACCGTCTAGTAATCTCTTTGATGAAATCCTGTAATTTTATTTGAAACATGGAGACACATATTCATATGGAATCTTATCTGAGATGGTTTCCTCATAGGCAATGAATAACACTCTGTCTAATGAGAGAAAGAGATTATGCATAATCTATATTTGTTGAGCTATGACTTTCCATCACATTAATATTTTTGTGGATCCAAGAAATACTTTCAAGGAAGGGAACACATCTATATTCCTTTCATAATGTATAGATAATGAATCACATTTTATTCAGTACATACTAATGTTTAATATTTTTATTGTAATAATGATCAGGATAAAATTGAAAACTAAACAGATAAAATTAAAGAGTCTGGCTAAATTATGATTTCATGTTAATATGCAAAAAAAAGAGAGAGAAAAGAACAAAGTATTTTAAGAAACCACTGTGCTGATATGTTCTTCAACACTATTTATTTCAAACATTATTTGCTGCAAAGTTATTTCCCTGTTGAAAATAGCATTACAAAAGAATTTATTCAAGGGGGACAGAAATCATTGCTTTTACCATTATATATTAAATGTTTAGAATAATTTCAATTGGAAATCTTTATTGTCAGTGCACAACATATGTACAACGAAATTGATTGAGCTCCCTCAGTGCACCCCCCCAACACAATACAACTCACAGTGAAGTCAGAAAATCCCTAACCCAATAAATCATATTAACAAATTGAGCTTGTAAAAACTGGTGAGAAACATCCAGCTGAAGGTGACAATATTTCCTCACATACATGAACGCCAGTTCTTAAAAAAATATGATACAATGAACTCTGCTAATTGTCATTTCTTGAACTGTGTGTATAATTTTCCTTTCAGAGTGATGACACCAATGTATCAGCAATTCCTGGCTCTGCAATTTGCACTCAAGGAGATCAATGAAAATCCCCACATTTTACCCAATCACACCCTGGGCTTCCATGTCTATAACAGTTATTTTAATCCCACGTGGACCTATCGTGCCTCCTTAGAACTGTTCTCCACCAAGGAGAGATTCATCCCAAACTACAGGTGTGACATGCAGAAAAGACCAATAGCTGTCATTGGAGGATCAACATCTGCAGTTGGAGACCACCTGGCCACTATCCTTTCCCTCTACAAGATGCCACAGGTACAATGCCTGCTGAGAAAAATGAGGTTTTTGAAGTATTTCATGTTTTCCTTCCAGTGATGTTTGTTTGTCATGGGGTAGAGGTAAAGGGATGCAGTGGCTCAGTGGCTAAGATGCTGAGCTTGTCGATCAAAAAGTCGGCAGTTCAGCGGTTCAAATCCCTAGTGCTGCGTAATGGGGTGAGCTCCCGTTACTTGTCACAACTTCTGCCAACCTAGCAGTTCAAAAGCAAATAAAAAATGCAAGTAGAAAAATAGGGACCACCTTTGGTGGGAAGGTAACAGCGTTCCGTGTGCCTTTGGCATTTAGTCATGCCAGTCACATGACCACGGAGACGTCTTCGGACACTGCTGGCTCTTCGGCTTTGAAACGGAGATGAGCACCGCCCCCTAGAGTTGGGAACAACTAGCACATATGTACAAGGGGAACCCTTACCTTTACCTAGAGTTAAGGAGAAAGAGTTAGGGAATAAATGAGCCCCTTGTATCTTACAAAGTCTTAAACTATTTTGTTTGCTTGATTTAATTAATTATATATTATTAATAGGCTTATTTAGGCCTAGTTTATTCTGTTTATTGTAAATTGTTTACCTGTTTGATATCATTCTTTTTGGGTTAGAGATTCTCATAGTGTATCTTACTTGATGTTCCTTGGTTTTCATCCCTACTTAAATTCCAAGGGCTATTATATACACAGACTGTGACACCACAGTATCAGTATTGTTGTTATAGTTAATTTTTAAGTAATCCTTTCTCTTACATGCTCTTTAAAAAAGGAAGAAAAGAAAGAAAAAAATGTGAAATGAAATGAGAAGAAAAGTATATTTTGTAAATTGAACTGTAGAGAAAGAAAGCAGTTAAAATTCATAGGGTATAAAAATAAATAGACTAGACCCAAGCAATCTGCAAACTAATAGACCACTGAACCTGTTGAGTGTACTTTATTATCTCTGAAGGTAATTGTTTTCAACATATATCACATTCAAAACTAGAGGTTGCAATGTAAATTCTGCTTTATTAATAAGATGCAGATATAGTTGTTCCATGAAATGCAGGATGATCTGATGGAAACTTTACCACTGAATCAGTAGTGAGTTTCAAATCCTGGTGCTACCGGTTCGCAGAGCGTTTTTGATGACGTCTGGGTGGGTGGGCGGAGCCTCCCACCACCGCCGCTACCAGTTTGCCTGAACTGGGGCGAACTGAGAGCAACCCATCACTGCACTGAATCAATTTCATTGGAGCAGACTTACTTAGGCAGGGACTGGCCAAACGTCCCAATGTGTAATTAAATTCTACATACCTTCTGTTCATTTATTTTCATGGAAAAGTAGATAATTCATAATTTCTCAGTTACTTCCCTTAACATTTTAACTGCCACATGCAAAATGTGGCTACAATGGAAGCTTGAAATCCCCATTTTAATTTCTAATTCCTGGTTTTTGTTTTGCCTAATCTTTTCTTCCCTCCCCCCCCCACCACATAAAATTAAAGATGATTTTTCCCCATCCTGTTTTTCCATCTCTTTCTTCAGTTCATCTATGGCTCAACTCCAGAGATAAATGAAAAAACACAGGTTGTTTTAAACCAACAGATGTTCCCAAATGTGCACCATGAATACAATGGTATTCTTCAATTGATGCTCCACTTCCAGTGGACCTGGATTGGGATGCTCTATTCAAATAGTGAGAATGGTGAAAGGTTTGTACAAGATGTTGTACCCCTGTTTTCCGTGAGTGGCATCTGTTTTGCTTTCATCAAAACTTTGCCAGCAATTACTTATTCAAATAATATTTTTGCTTCTGTGGAAGCTGGGATTGAAACTTTCAAGATTATTATGAGAAGCTCTGCCAATGTAGTGTTAATCCATGGCGAAGCTGAAGATATGATTATTTTGAGGATAATTCCCACCATATCCCAAGTGGAAGATGTACCATTATTGGCAAAAGTTAAAGTGTGGGTGTTGACAGCTCAGATGCATTTCACATCACTTCCCTTCCAAAGGAATGACAACATAGACTTCCTCCATGGTGCTCTCTCCTTTGCAATTCACTCAGGGGAGGTTTTGGGATTCCAGGAATTTCTTCAGATGAAAAAGCCTAACATGAAAAAAGAAGATGCCATTATCAAGCTCTTCTGGGAAAATGCATTTGAATGTTCATTCTCCAACTCCATGAATGGGGAGAAAGATGCAGTCATCTGCACTGGTGAAGAAAAACTGGGAAATCTTCCTTCATCTGTATTTGAAATGGACATGACTAGCCACAGCTACAGTGTCTACAGTGCAGTCTTTGCTGTGGCACATGCTTTACATGACATCCAGGCATCCATATTCAGATACAAAGCAGGATATCATGAAGCCAAACTAAACCTTCTGATGCAACAACCATGGAAGGTAATGTTCTAAGCCCATGATGGTGAACCTATGGCATGCGTGCCCAAAGTGGCATGTGAAGAGCCATGTTGCCTGGCACACGCGGCCTTGCCTGTTTCTCTTTCGGGTTTCTGGCGTGCATGCACATGCAACAAACAGCTGTCTTTTGCGTAAAGGTAAAAACTGGTGCTGAAAACTGGTGTGTGTATGCCAGGGGTGGGTTCTACTTACCTTTACTACCAGTTTGCAACGGGGCTGCATGTGCGCACTTCTGCGCCTGCGTAGAAGCTTCCTGATGATGTCGAGGTTGGTGGGCAGAGCCTCCTGCCAGTGTTACTACCGGTTCTATAGAACCAGTCTGAACTGGGGGCAACTCACCACTGATGTATGCACACTGGCCAGTTGATCGTCAGGCATGCATGCGTGCTAGAACCCACAAGTTTGGCTTTTCCAATGCATGCATGTGTGACATTTCCGTGCAACCTTTTCAGCACTCGGTGCCGAAAAGGTTTGCCATCACTGTTCTAAGCATTACTTCTAAGGAAGTCTAAGTAACTTCTAAGCATGGAAACTAAATTGCAGAGGGCTGATCATATTTGCAGGTAAACTAATACTGTAGATCCTAGATTGGGGAGGATGCTATTCTCCAAGACTTTTTACAGCCTAAATATGAACATTTATCTAGACATAAGATTCTCTCTAATTATATCTTTAAAGTTATGTTTTTAATGTTTATAAGCTATGTGATATGTTTATGATTATTTATTTCATTCCACCTTATATAACAAGCACACTGCAGTTTTGTGAAATGTATCATAGTTTCAGTGACTAATAAATCACAAGTCTGAGCACTTATCCAATTCATTTTTTTTAAAGGAAATAAGAAAAGAAAAAAAATGAATACTAGTTATTGCTAGAATGAAAGTGAAATGTTTATTTGTCTTTAGCTTATCCCAAATAGTTAAGCAATTTGTAATTTATTAGATAAGAAACCATCAGGAAAAACAAATATAGATTTGTTGCAAACTTCAAAAACAGCTTTATTGATTAATTTGATTGACTATGTGCTATCAAGTAATGGTCGGTTTTTATCCACAATGTAGACAGGGTTTCTCCAAGATGAATTATCCTGAATCTTGTCTGTCAGGTCTTTTATTGGTGCACCCATTACAACTATAACTGACTGCATGTACCTTTCTGCTGGTTTTCATCTTCTTGTCTTTACTTTCCCCTTTCCCAGTATTCATATCTTCTTTAGGAAGTGAGATCTTCACATAATATATAATAATTTCTATGTTACAAATATTCTCCTCAATCAAATGTGCTTGAAAAAATTATCCACTAATGATTTAAACCAGGGGTGAAATCCAGCAGGTTCTGACAGGTTCTGGAGAACCGGTAGCGGAAATTTTGAGTAGTTCAGAGAACTGGCAAATACCACCTCTGGCTGGCCCCAGAGTGGGGTGGGAATGGAGATTTTGCAAAATCCTTCCCCTGGAGTGCAGTGGGAATGAAGATTTTGTAGTATCCTTTCCCTGCCATGCCCACCAAGCCACACCCACCAAGCCACACCCACAGAACCGGTAGTAAAAAAAAATTTGGATTTCACCACTGATTTAAACCTAGTGGACAATCATTTAAATATGAGCCAGCAGTGTGTGGCAGCAGGCAAAGAAACTAATGCAATCCTTGATTGCAAAAAAATAAAAATAAAAATAAAAAGAAGTATTATAAAGCCTTAGTAATCACACCTGTAATAATGCATCCAGTTTTGCTCACCACATTACAAAAAAGATGTTGAGACTTTGGAAAAAGTCAGAGAAGAGCAACTAAGATGATTAAAGGTCCGGGGACTAAAACATATGAGGAATGGTTGCAGGAATTGGTTATAGCTAGTCTAGAGAAAAGAAGGACTAGGGGACACATGATAATGGTGTTCCAGTATTTGAGGGGCTGCCACAAAGAAGAGGGGATCAACTTTTCCCCCCCCCCCAAAGCACCAGAAGGCAAGACAAGAAACAATGGATGGAAACTAACCAAGGAGAGAAGCAACCTAGAATTAAGGATAAACTTCTTAACAGTGAGAATAATTAACTAATGGAAGAGCTTGTCCTCAGAAGTTGTGGATGCTTCACCACTGGAGGTTTTTAAGAAGATACTAGACAGGCACTTATCTGAAATGATATAGGGTGTCCTGCTTGAGCAGGGGGCTGGACTAGAAGACCTCCAAGGTCCTTTCCAGTTCTACTCTGATTCTGATTCAAATTATTTTATATTTCTCTTGAAATAAATTAGAATCAGGGATTTTTTTTATTCTCAGTTTTTATCTGTTTGTTTTTCATAGCTTTGGTACTTTTATTAAATTGTGCCGCTTTGTAGGTTTTAGTCTCATGCCTATTCACTAAAACTGCAAGCATAATCATTCAGTATTACCTTACCTTCTAGACCAGAGGTGTCAAACTTGATTTCATTGAGGGCCGCATGAGGGTTGTGTTTGATCTTGGGGGAGGGGCATGGCTGGGGGGGGGCATGGCCAGCTTGACATCACTCCTGTCGGGGTGCCTGTGGCATCCCAAGAGCTCTGCCAGTGAAAACAGGCTCCCGAGCTCCGTTTTCAGCTGCCATGGCCTCCTGTTTTCGGCTGTCACAGCCAAGCGCTCCCAAACTCTGTTTACACTGATAGAGGGTTGCAGAAGGCCGTGGTAGCCAAAAAATGGAGTTTGGGAGCCCATTTTCCCTGGCAGAAGCACCACAGGCCAGTCCTTCTATGTTTCCAGGGCAGCCCAATGGGCCAGATCTAAGTACTCCGCAGGCCGGATCCAGCCCCTGGGACTTGAGATTGACACCCTGTTCTAGACTCTAAAGCTCTTAAAGCAGTGGTGGGTTGCTACCGGTGGCGGTGGGAGGCTCTACCCACCTGCCTGGACATCTCTGCCTATGTGCAGAAACTTCTGTGCATGCACAGAAGTGTCATGAGAGCGAGCAAGCATGCGCACGCCCACGAGCGAACCAGTAGTGACAGAATTTGAAATCCACTACTGTCTTAAAGAGTTTATTCTCTGCATTCTCCAAAGAGCAAGGAACATTATTCTTTATGTACTGGAATTTCTAACTGTACTCTGTTTTCTTTTTCTTTCTTACATTTAGCTCAACCAATTTGTAAGAAGGGTGTCTTTCAATAACAGTGCAGGGGAAAAAGTTTCCTTCAGTCAGAATGGAGAGTTGGAGGTTGGATTTGATATTATGAACTGGATCATATTTCCAAATCAGTCTTTTCTGAGAGTCAGAATTGGAGGGATCAATGGCATGGATTCTCAAGAAATAACATTCTCTTCTCCTGAAGAATCTATTGTGTGGCCTAGGAGATTTAATCAGGTATGGTGCAATTACAGTTTGGATTACTTTCCATAATTATTCCACTGTTAGAAATATTTACAGATCCAACATCCCACCTTCCATTTACATTCAGAAATAAAACCCTCCATGGGTTTCCCCCCCCACCTACTTCTATATATTGTCCAAGCCATGAGGAAAAATAGCATGGGGATATATGTAAATCTGGTAAAAAGATGGTTTGGGATTCCATAAGTCACATGCATCAGTTATAATTATTCTAATTTGTATTTATTGTCCAAAAACCAAATGGCAAAGGATAAATATAATTAAAAACTTTGGAATAAGATAAAACAGTTTAGCAGATAAAATATTTTCACAAATATTATAAATATATTTATATTTATATTTATATTTATATTTATATTTATATATTTATATTATAAATATAAATAAAAGATAACAGAATTCTCACTAGGAATTTATCAATATTCATTTCTATCTATCTATCTATCTCTATCTATCTATCTATCTATCTATCTATCTATCTATCTATCTATCATATATATCTCTATTCTCTATATCTATCTATCAATCATCTATCTATCTATCTATCTATCTATCTATCTATCTATCTATCTATCTATCTATCTATCTATCTATCTATCTATCTATCTATCTATCAGTATATATCTCTATTCTCTATATCTATCTATCTATCTATCTATCTATCTATCTATCTATCTATCACTATATATATATATATTCTCTATTCTCTATTCTCTATTCTATCATCTATCTATCTATCTATATCTATCTATCTATCTATCTATCTATCTATCTATCTATCTATCTATCTATCTATCTATCTATCTTATGATTGTATATCAACTTTAACCTATTGATGGAACTGGAATATCATAGCCAACTATTTGAAGATGATTATCCCCCATTTACAGGAATGTCTGTTTCAAAGAAGAGAAAATAATGGAATAAAAATTATATAAAACAAAAATACCTTTCCACTCAGTAATGAGATGTTAAGGAAACACAGAGAGAGTGTTTTCCATAGTGGTTTCCAACGTGTAGAGCATATCGTTCCAGGATGTTTTGGGACATTTAAAATATTTCACAGTTTGTTATACAATATTTGCCTGGTTATTTTATGCTTGTTTTACTAATGTTTAATTTATTATCCTTGCTTTGTTATTCCTATGGTACAGCATGATTTTATGCTTAGTAGATTTATTTTATTTTGGCTACAAAGATCCCTCTATCTCAGATCCCCCCCTCTCCCTGGCCCTCAATTCCAGAGTGGCAACACTGAAGCAGACAAAATGGCTTCAGTCAGGACAGCTTCAGGGTTGACACAATGCTGAGGAAAAAGATCACACCTTATTACTAGCCATGATCATTGAGTTTCAGTTCATAGGAGAAACAAGAACAAGAGCAAAAAGAAAAGAAAGTGAAGGATTTTGATAGGAATTGTGAGTAGGAAATTCTTAGGGTCTTATTTGCTGGTAGTTATCTTGGGCCACAGAGGGTGGGTCAAATTATTTTTACTTTATGGGAGGAGGGATGTTCATATTTTTACTAAGGAGAAATACTGTAGCACTTAGACTTATATACCACTTTACAGTGCTTTACAGCCCTCTCTAAACGGTTTACAGAGTCAGTCTGTCGCCCCCAACAATCTGGCTCCTCATTTTACCCACCTCGGAAGGATGGAAGGCTGAGTCAACCTTGAGTCTGGTGAGATTCGAACTGACAAATTGCAGTCAGCCGGCAGTCAGCAGAAGTAGCCTGCAGTACTGCACTCTAACCACTGTGCCACCGTGGCTCATAAATCAATGTTTGGAAATGGTCTGTCCATGCTAATTAGTGATGGGAGATTTAGGTGCATGCTCTTAATCTAGAACTGGAAAGTCTGTGAATTTTCACCCAACAACACTGTTGCAATTTGTTTAATGGGTCTGCTGATGAGTACTTGCAAAGGCTGAATCCTCATTATCTTCTGTTGGTTTAGTCCCAATGAGTCATACTTATTTTCTTCTGGCCAGACCAGATTAAGGGGGTTTAAAATGGAAAAATCTGATTGGATTATGTAAATGAGAGGGGGAAGTCTGACATGAACCTGATCTTGTTTCTGAAGTTCTGGGCGGGATTCTCCATTTCTGGGTTGTTGTTTTTTAAATTTGATTTATATGCCGCCCTTCTCCGGAGACTCAGGGTGGCTTACAGTGCGTTAAGCAATAGCCTTCATACTTTTGTATATTTATACAAAGTCAGTTTATTGCCCCCACAAACTGGGTCCTCAATTTACCTACCTTAGAAAGGATGGAAGGCTGAGTCAACCTTGAGCCTGGTGAGATTCGATCTTACTTTAATTGCAGACAGCTGGTGTTAAATTACAGTGCTTCTGTCTGTTGAGCTATCCAGGCTCTTAAGGTTTGACACAAGAAAGTGTAACAAATAAATCAATATACAAATAGACAATGAAGGTACAATCTTGTCCAATCAAAAGCATTCTCTCCTTTCATAACGGATAGGTCCAGCCACTTTCTCTGTGTAATAACAAGTGCCACTCAGGATACAGTAAGAAAAGGATAGAATCAAAGCCATTTTGCTGCTATGATTGTCTTCGGTGTCCTGATGGGGAGATTGCTAACAAGGAAGGTAAGAGATGTTGTGCAGAAAGCTGAAGGATCTACTGACATCAATAATCACAGGCGTATTTTCTCTTAATATCCAAAAATAGATGATGATCATGATATTTTAATTCATCAAAGGATATCACAGGATTAAAAAACGGGGGGGGGGGGGGGAACCGGTTAGGTTGTCTGAGTTCGCTTATCTTGTTGTAGATATTTCATTACCAAGCTAGCTGACGTCCATGCATGGAGAAGTTATAAAGCAAATAAAAACAGCCAGCAAACTTCATCCTTCCATGGAGTGATGATATTACACAACCCAATAATGAAATGTCTGCAACAACGGTAGCAAGCTCAGAGAACCACAAGAACCCAAACCAGTGGTGAAATGTAAAATTTGTTACTACCGGTTGGGTAGGCGTGGCTTGGTGGTTGGGGTAATGTGACTGGGTGGGCATGGCCAAGTGTTTTTTTTAAATTTTAAAACCATTTTTTCTATAACCTCTTCAGCTGAAGAGGTTGTAAAAAAAATGCTTTTAAAAGCCTCTGATGATCCCAGCTGAGCCGTGCGATCATCAGACACTTTTTTTTAACTTTTAAAAGCATTTTTTCAGCCGAAGAGGTTGTAGAAAAAATGCTTTTAAAAATTAAAAAAAAAGCTTCTGATGATTGCGTGGATCAGCTGGGCATGGGAGGGGGCAGGAATTTTTGCTACCAGTTCTCCAAACCACCCATTGCCATCGCTACCAGATCAGGCGATCCGGTCCGAACTGGGAGCATTTCACCCCTGATCCAAACATATGTACAGCTGAAATAGGGACTGGATGTAAGTAGAACTAAAAATCCCAGAGAGAAAGGCCAGAAAAATGATGGCAATGAATCATGCTTCATGCATGCTGTGATGTTGACTGATTCTACTTACCAAGGAAAATAGGTAAGCATGTAATGTTATGTGAAGAAGAAAAAAGGGCATTGGAAGAATATCTAAAATACAGTGGAAGAGGTACATTGAAGCCAGTATGCCAGCTTTACTCAGAACAGCTTACATCCTCCAATGACACCTTTAAATCCATTAAAATTAACATCTGCCTATTCCATGCTCTTGTGAAGGACTCAATAGATAGATGAAAATGGCAAATTCAGTCTAAGCATCTGACTGACTGTGCAATGAACCATAATATAAATCACACTTCCCTATTTCAGGTCCATGGGAGATACTCAATTGATCAGGGGTATCAAACACAAGGCCTGTGGGCCAGATTTGGTCCATAATGTGGTTGGATCTGGCCAGTGGGGCCATCCTGGAAAATATAAGGGGCCAAACCACATTGCTTCGGCATGGTCTACCCATGTCACTTCAACCCGGTCTACCCAATGTGAAGAGGAAATATTGGGCCAGCGTGGCTTTGGCCTGGTCTACCCAATGCCAAGAGGAAATATGCCAGCAGTTTGGGGAGTGGTGTCAAGCTGGCCACGCCTACCCAGTCAGCCATGCCCAGTGAGTAGGGTCAAGCTGACCACACCCACCCAGTCAGCCACACTCACCCAGTCAGCCACGCCTGCCCAGCCCCCCGAGGTCAACCACAGCCTTGATGTGGCCCTCAATGAAACTGAATTTGACACCCCTGAATAGATGGAAAAAAATATCAAATCTAATCAAAATATGTGGCTGACTATGCAACCAACAATAATAATTTCAACTGCAAATTGAAATAAAAGCCGAGATCACATTGGATTTCTTGATATCCTTATATTATTTGATCTTCTGAACTCCTAAATAGTAAAATCACTCTTAATGTTGTGATTCTTACCTTTTGAGTTAAGACCCATCACTGAATTCTGGACTTTATCCAGATAACTTTTGGAGTTCATTCACCATCTAGTTTACCTGCATCTGGTAGCCTCATCAGAACGGGTCTGTAGGCATATGTTCCCAAGGTGTGATGAAGAATTACAAATTCAAATTCCAGTTAAAAATACCACAAGTTCACAAACCTACCCATCATGACTTCTTTTTAATACACAAAAAGCAAATATAATAATGTTGAGTGCTTCTAAGGAAACATTTTCAGTCATCCTGGAATTTCATTTATTTGAAATACAATATATGTCCTGCTTTATTAGCCATTACTGATGTTGGATACATGTGCAAACGATAGAAATTTCTTTGGTTTTCAGATTCAAAGTCAACAATTATTATTTGACTGTTAGTTTCTGATTTAATTAGTGAATGGGATGTCAGAACTCTCCTGTTTCTAAACTAATATTTTCTTTTCTAGACATGGATGACTGTTTTCATTGTTCAGAAGATCAGTACCCAAACAACAGCCAAGATCTGTGTCTCCCAAAAGCATTAACTTTCTTGATGTATGAAGAAATTTTGGGAACCATTTTAGCCAGCTTTGCTATTTTCTGTTCTTTCATTACAGCTGTGGTCTTCTGGATTTTTATTAAACACCAGGATACTCCTCTTGTTAAAGCCAATAACCAGAACCTGACCTATGTTCTCCTGGGTGCTCTATTATTATCTTTTCTTTGTGCTTTGCTATTTATTGGTCAACCATCCAAGGTGACCTGTGTGTTTCGTCAAACTGCTTTTGGAGTTGTCTTCTCAGTGGTCATTTCTTGTGTTTTAGCCAAAACTGTCATTGTGGTTCTGGCTTTCATGGCCACCAAGCCTGGGACCAAGATCACCAAGTGGGTAGGGAAAAAACTTGCCATGTCTGTAGTGTTTGGCTGCTCCTTTGTTCAAGGGATTATATGCACAGTGTGGCTGATAATATCTCCTCCATTCCCTGATGCTAACATGAGTTCAATGGCAGAAGAAATAGTTCTGGAATGCAATGAAGGATCCAACTACATGTTCTACTGTGTCTTGGGCTACATGGGTTTCCTTGCCTTTATTAGCTTCATAGTGGCTTTCCTAGCAAGAAAATTGCCTGATGCTTTCAATGAAGCCAAGTTTATCACTTTCAGCATGTTGGTCTTCTGCAGTGTCTGGTTGTCCTTTGTTCCAGCATACCTGAGCTCAAAGGGAAAATATATGGTTGCTGTGGAGATCTTCTCTATCATAGCCTCCAGTATTGGAATATTAATTTGCATCTTTTCCCCCAAATGTTTTATTATTATATGGAGACCTGATCTAAATAAGAAAGAAAAGCTAAGCACCAAAAATCATTAGAAGAATATAAACCTGGATGACCCTTAATACTTTTGAATTAGTCAATAGTGTTTTAGCTATGTATTGAGTTGAGTGTGTGTGTGTGTGTGTGTGTGTTTGTGTGTGTGTGGTTATACTTGTACCTATACATATAATACATATCCCTTTTCATCAGGGGTGAAATTCAAAAAATTTCCCTACCAGTTCTGTGGGCATGGCTTGGTGGGTGTGGCAGGGGAAGGATATTGCGAAATCTCCATTCCCCACTCTGAGGTCAGCCAGACCTGGTATTTGCCAGTTCTCCAAACTACTCAAAATTTCCGCTATGGTTCTCCAGAACCTCCTAGAACCTGCTGGATTTCACCTCTTTTTTTCATACTATGAGCGGAATGTGTCTTGCTCAATCTCAGATTCTCTATAACAATTGTGTGAAATTGAGGGTTCTGCATAATGCCTTAATCATTCCTAGACTGCTTTCTTCTGATGTTCACACAGAAAGTTCTGATGATGTTTCTGAGATATTTTAGAGCTACTCTCTCATTGTAGGAGTCACAGTCTTGAGTTCTTGAACCATCACTGGGACCACTTTGCCTTTTATTTACTGTATCCCCTTTCATTTATCCTTTAAGCCCTGCTACTCCTTGAGCTTTTTCTTCTCCTTTTTCCTGGCATTGCTGTCAGTTGGTGTCACTACATTTACCACCACTGCTGTCTTCTGGTCCCTGGTTACTATCACAATGTCTGCTGTTTAGCCAGTACCTGCCTGACTGTTTGGATCAGGAAGTCTCACAGAATCTTAGTCATGTTATTCTCCACAACATTGAATGGAACATCTCACCCCCCCAAAAAATCTGGACTATTGATAGTCTGGCCCATCAATATACACAGTGGGACTCCTTCATTTTGCCACTCAAGGTATAATGTACCTGCCTGCATTTTACATCTTTCACTATGTGTTGGGTATCTCTGAGGCCTTTCTGTAGAGTCTGTAGCTTGAGTCCTGTATGATAGATCCCTCCTTCTATGTATCTGGTGCTTAGTGCCTGTTCTTGTGTTGCTCTGATCAGTGCCTTAGGACTGTCTTTAGTGCAACTTTTTCCAGCCACTGGTTGTGTGTGTGTGTGTGTGCGAGAGAGAGAGGAGAGAGAGGGAGAGAGGGAGAGAGAGGAAGAGAGAGGGAGAGAGAGAGGGAGAGAGAGGGAGAGAGAGGGAGAGTGATTTAATTTAATATTATTCTTGTTGCATTTTTGTTTTTGTACATGGCTTAGTCCTATGATTGAGATAAGCTTTCAAAAATGTCTGCATCAAAAGCCTTTCACAATTGCAGGGTTTATTTGTTTGTTTGTTTTCCTGAACATCCATCCAACCATCCATCCATCCATTTTTATTTATAGGTTGACAGATTTCTATATGACTTTTTAATGCTTACAACTATTGTTATTACCCAATAACTTCCGGTTGGCACTGCCGGCGCTGCGAACGGTCTTTTCAGACCGCCGGCATCGTGATTCCGTTGGAGCCATCCTTACAGCGCTAATCAGCTGTCAGACGGCTCGAAAACTTCTCCTTCAGGAGAAGAAGGGGAGGAGAGCCGGTGGGTGAGGGTAGAGCTCCCCGGAAGCCCCTGGAATAACTCCAGGGGCTTGGAGGGTGAGAGCCCCCCGGTCAGCCCACTGAAGCTCAGGATCTGGTGCGACTCTGTATTAACAGAGCTAGGCGTCGCGTCCAACTCTGCTGTCAAAAAGAAGATTGATTGAATCCAAAAAGCAGACTGAACGGAAGCACGAGAACAAGCTTTTGCAAGTATAATGCTTAACTCTGGGGATACATTGTTTCTATTTGAATTTTCTGAGCTGGAGGTGAAGATGGCGTCTTTGTTGCGAGTCTAAAAGTGAAAGTTAGAAAGGAAAGTGCTTGTTAACAGATTTGTGCTCAGAGACTGGCTTTACGTTGCTGGATTTGATTTTAAAGAGCTGCTTGGAAAAAGGATCATTTTGCTTGGTGATTTACAAACAAATTGCTGAAAGCTGTTCAAGAGACTTTATGGCTGTGACTTTATGACTTTATGGTGGTGAAAAGAAAATTTTTCTTAAAATAAGATGGCTTCCAAGAAAGGAGTTTTTGAAAGTGCTGGAAGCTCTCCAGTGGTGTCAGAAATGACACAGTCGACTGATTCACAGAGATACAAGGATTTTATTAATGAATTTACAGAATTTGTAAAGGAAGCCATGAATAATCATATTGTAGCTATGATTAACCAAATAGCAATCTTCGAATGGAAATTAAAAGATTTGTTGGAGGACACAAAAGCAAATACAGAGCACAATGACAATGCAGGAGACATTTTGATTAAAGCAGAGAAGATGGAATCGGCTGGTTCTCAAGAACTTTCAAGCTTACTTCCTGCTCTTTGTGATGATTTGGAGAGGAAAAAAGTAGAAAATGATAAGCCTTGCGAGGTCTTGGAGGAAGAAGGAGATTTGCCAGTGACTTTCACACAACTAAATGAAAAGAAACAACTGAATTTTTCTTTGCAAACTGATGATAATCTTTGGTTTTACAGAACAAGGAATGAAGTGACTGACTATATAAGCAAGAAGAGGCGATATGGTGGCTCTAAATCAGAGGAAACACTTTCAAAAAGGGGAAAATTTTTACAGATACATCAACCTCAAATTAAAATTAAAAACCTCCTCAAAACAGAACTAGGAGGGATGAAGAAAGATTGGAAAAAATATAAAAAGAAAGCAAGAATGGAAGATTAACCTTTTTTGGTTTTGCAGTTGATGTTTTAATGGCTAATTAAAAGGATTATGTTTTAAGATTTAAAAGTTGGAGGGAGAAAGACTTTTTGTTATAAGACTTTTAAAATATCTGAAAGCATGAAAGTAAGATTAACTTTTTTTTGGTTTTGCAGTTGATGTATTAATGGCTAATTAAAATGATTATGTTTTAAAATTTAAATGATAGAGGGAGGAAGAAAGATTGAGGGGAAAATGCAGAAACTCAATTATTGACTAATTAAGGTTTACTTTTTGTTATAAGATCTTCTAAAATATCTGAATTTTGAGAAAAGTGGAGGGAGAGTAAAATGTTTAAGTAAATGAATTAAGAATACTTTACAGATATACTAAGAGAGTTTTTAGGGTTTGAATGATCAATGTTTGTTAATGTTTTTAAAACCCTTAGAGTTAATGAAAGGGGAGGTTGATGACTTTGTAGAAGGGGAGTTAAGGGGTCCAGGGAGTTTTAAATCTTGCAGTAAGTTAACATATGTTAGCGAATGTTTGTTGAAGTCTATGCCCTGTTTTTGTTCTGGGAAATTGGGGGTAGGGGGTGGGGAGGGGGCGGTTGAAGGTTGATGATAGATTGAATGATTGCTTATATTGTATATTTGTTTGATTATAAAATAAAATAAAAACTTTTTCAAAAAAAAAAAACCCTATTGTTATTACCCTATGGCTGTGATGGCAAACCTATGTCACGCATGCCCAAAGTGGCACATGGAGCCAAGTTGCCTGGCACACACAGCATCTACTGTTCCTCTTCCTGGGTTTCTGGCATGCAGGCGCATGCAATGATCAGCTGGCCTTTTTGAATGCGGCAGTGCCGGAAACTAGAAGAGCCAGTCTTTTGTTTTCCTGCATGAGCATGCGTGCCGGCCAGCTGATCATTGTGTGCCCATGTGTGCCAGAAACCCAGAATAGTAGCTGAAACCAGAAGTTCATTTTCAGGCACGCGCATTCACCCTGGGCAGCTCCTCTTCCGGGTTGTGGCCCAGATGCACACTCGGTGCTGAAAAGGTTCACCATCACTGCCCTATGGCATTGTTACATAGCCAGGAGACTACAATGTTAATGCATAGTAGTAGTTTGGCTGCCAATTTATTAGCTTTGTTATGGTAAATACTTGTGTGCTTTCCAGGGTGCATTCATTACAGGAGTGTGAGCTAGGTTCACATCAGAATGAAAGATGAGTGGCTCTTCCTGCATAGTCATCTTAAGCCCCCCTCCCTTCACCAGAGCCACCTTGCAAATGAACATCACAAGCAGGAAGGTTCAGAACTGGCAGGAATCTGACCATCTGCACAAAGCACCAGTTTGTCTCCCCAACTAAGTGGTACCTATTTATCTTCTTGCATACAACATTTCTTTCAAATTGCTAGGTGGGCAGAAGCTGAGGCAAGTGATGGGAGCTCACCCCACCATGCAGTGCTAGGACTCAAACCACCAAAGCAGAGACCATCACCAGTGTCATGAAGCCATTAAGCCACCTCTGCTGCTTACAATGAAAAACCTGACACACAAAAAAATACAATTAACCAGAAATCTCAAATGAATAAAGGAGCAACTTTTATGCCACTAAGAAATTTGTTTTATGTGTATTCAATAAAATCTCCAATTTTCTATAAAGAATACCTACATAGAAGTAATACCAATACAATTGAATATATTTTAATCTTCTACTATACAGTGAACTTTTTTGAAAAATTCAGAAGGATATACTTATAGTTCTTTCCTACTGCCCTCTTACCCAATTCTTACTGTATGTTGAATTTCCATTAAAAAAAATATTGGTGCTGCAATTGCAGAGTTACACACTGTTGTTTTTGTTTTTTTTTAAAAAAAAATCCTCCCATCCTCATGAATATTTCTGTTTCTGATCATCTTGCTATCACACTGAAGTACCAGTGGTAAATATCATTTTTTCCTTCATTTTTTCCCCGCCAATTTCAATAAACCCAATATAGATAAGGTAAATTGAGCTATGTGTTCTAATCCCAAAAGAGTTTTTTTTTAAAAAAAATATCTACATTTGTGGTTTTTTCAGTAAAGAACATATAAGATCTCAATTAAGATACAACACATGCTTTCTTATCCATTGTTTTATTTCATCTATTATTTTTTACTTGGTTCTTCCCCTGCAATTATATACATTTTGAACATGTTAATGTCTGAGAGCTGCATAGATCCCAAATCTATGTGAGAATCACTAACGCTGAAATGCAATGCAACAAAATAAAATCATTTGTGGAAAA